GACTCTAGAGGATCCCCTAATAACAATCAGTTAAACATGTTATGGTATTATATATTTACAATAAATCTGAACATTAAGTTGTTTTGTAAGTTGTTTATTTAATACAGTATGCGTAACTGTACAGATATAAGAACCAGTTTGATCTCTAGTATTTATTAATAAAGAATTATATACTTACAATAAATCTGAACATTAAGTTGTTTTGTTAGTTGTTTATTTAATACAGTATGTGTAATTGTACAGATATAAGAACCAGTTTGATCTCTAGTATTTATTAATATAGTATTATATACTTACAATAAATCTGAACATTAAGTTGTTTTGTAAGTTGTTTATTTAATACAGTATGTGTAAATGTACAGGTATAAGAACCAGTTTGATTTCTAGTACTAAGTGATAAAGGGTTATTTAGAATTGTTGTTGAACCATCTTTAGACCAGTTGATGTTACAATCTGGTTTACAATCATCTAAACAGTTGACACTCTGACTCTTTCCTTCTATAACATCTATATTATCACTAGTAGGGTTAAATCTTATATTCTCTGGACCATCTGTAAAAATCACTTTAATTTTTCTATTGTTATTTTATCGATTGAATTTAACCAAATAACGCGGCTCATAAAATGAGAAAGGACATTTTTATACGCCCACACGTAAGATGGGCGTATATGTTTTCCTTCACAGAAAATGATGAATTAAGTGTGTATTATCGAGTCAGTTTGACTAGTGAATGATAATCTGAAAAATAAACTGAGATTAAAATAAACTTACAATAAACTGATACATTGGTTGATCCTTGTCCACCAGAATTACCTCTACAACAACATGTTGTATCATCTTGTTTATTTATATTACTTATATTGAGATATAGTGTTTTGTTGTTATTATTTATACATCGACATTTATATCTATTATCTGTTGAACTACTCTCACAGTTTATCATATTACATACAACAATATTGTTTCTACGGAACTCTACAAGACTAGGTGAATCTGTAACATCACATTGTAATCTATAATTTTCACCTAACACTGCATAACTTTCAGGAACTCCTCTTATAGTATATTGACCTGTAATATAAACAATATGATAATCAAACAACTTCTAGTTTTCATTCCATTTGATTTTGATTTCAGCACACAAAACTGTCGTTGGTACAATATTTCAATCTAAGATTATTTACATTAATTTAGATAAAATCATTCCATCAGTAAATTCTGAATTCAACCATTTCATTAACCAACAGTCAATCTAAGTTTTGGACCAAACCTTCTTAATAGAAACTCGATATCATGATGAATATTTCAGTTTGAACCAATCATTCTACCTCTCAATATAAAATACTTACAGATTTGCGTGAACTGACAAAATATACAACACGAAAAAGAATTCCACTATTTATATAAAGATTCTATATCGTTAAAATATTGTGATGGTAAAAGTCAAATATCAATCATAAAGATAAGTCAAGTCAAAGATCACAGTGCGATTCATGTTATCTTATTATATATGCATTTAGTGCAGGTTGAAGTGTAATATTTACTTTTATTGTTATGTCATATTATTCTACATAAAGACTTGTCTTATACATGAAATTAGTCTTATAGATGTATCATATGAGAAAATATACAATGTAAATACATCTCTTACCTGTAATTAGTACTGGTAAATAAACTATAACTATTAATATCAATATATATTTATACTCCATGTTATTGAATAATATTCAACAAGACGATCTTATCTTGTCATATATTTGGTTTACTTGTGTACAAGGCTCTAATTTACTTCCTCTTTTAAACATTAAAACACATATCTATGTTACAATATTTTTAGATATGACCTAAATACATAGTAAAATAATTTAGCAATGCCTAGATGGTATCACGTCAGAGGGGGTTCTCTTGAAAAACTGGAATCTCGGTTACCCAATTTTGGACCCCCTGAACCCTAATACCCTGATATCATGCGATATATTTTTGTTTAACATGGCCTAAATACATACTACTGTATTTTAGCAAAGACTAGATGGTAATCACGTCAGAGAGGGCTCTCCTGAGAAACACTGTAATCTCGGTTACAAACTTTTTTTGACACCTTGTACGCCAATAAATTATTTACCATCTCCTGCTATCCTTACCAAAGAATAACTTAATAAAAGACTAACAGATTACAGTCGTTATTTCGAGACAACTGTCCACAACGAAGAAACAGAAAATCTCGAGTCATTCATTTTACACTATGTCGATAATCACGTGCGGATTATGCAATTGAAAGGAAAATGGCGACTGGTTCGATGTTATAAATCCGCAATGCGATAATTTTGTCGTGAAAGCACGGGAATAGGTATGATTTTACTCAAAATTAGAGTCAGCGACAAAAACCCTGAAAAACGTAACAACGCAGTGATGCACTATGATATTTTTGTACCACTGCAATGCTTGTTTATTGTTAATGGCAGACAAAACTCTCACACTTGTGATGTTATAATTCGAAATTCAAAGTGACTTTACTGGAAACGGTCTCATGTTTCTTTTTATATTAAATAATAATAAAGTTGTCCCCCTTTATAAAGAATTTTTGCAAATACAGGTCCTATTTGAACAAGCTTTATTTTTGGGTAAAATATAAACTAAAACAAAATGAAACAATGAAGTAACTATAAAAATTGACATGATTACAGATATTTAGAGAAAAAAAACTGAATTATGATTTAAT